ATCAGAACCAGGAGGAGGAAGGTTCTGGTTGTTATCAAATCTGCTGAGAACACTTTACTTTTGCAGTATCTGTAGAACTGTTTGTGATGTGGATCACATGAAGCCGTCCTGGGCCTGATCAAGGTCCGATGACTGTTTCTGTCTGTGAAGCTTTTGGCTGATAAATGGTGTCCTCTGGTATTCCTAAAGACAGCTTGAGTGTCAGCGGTTTGTCTCTGGATGTGTCGGGTGCATCTAACCGACTAACTGTCGACCTCCAGACAATCAGAGTGCAAACTGAGAGTGTTAAAGCAGAGCAGGACGAGGATTTCAGAGGCTCGTGGATCCAGGGAGTCTGCCTCGAACGGGTTCGCCTTGAGATCTTACCAGAGCCTCTTTGCCCCCTCCCGCTACAGGCGCCTGGTAGGGACAATCTTTATCTGTTGGTGATTTTAGGGCTTTGGTTTGGGGGAGATTTTCCTGCCTCTTCTTACCGGCTCCCCATCTGTCATTTACCTCTCCCTTTTCAATGACAATTACATCAGAGATATTAGTTGTGGTGAATGAGGCTCAGCAGGCATGCACATCACAACATCATCACAGTGACACTCTGGAGACCGTCATGCCCCACTGCTGGTCATGCAGCCTGGTGGTCACCATGGTTACCACTGGGAGCGGGAAACCAGCACCACCTTCAGATGAGTTACAGAGGCACATGAAGATAAGACTGGTTTGGTTTCCAGCTGCAGGAGCAGATGTGGTCCAAGCTGTCAGAGTGCTGCTGCCCTGCAGTGCTGGTTCAGACAGCACATCGACCCTCTGCCGTGCTCCAGTACAGCCTCTGGAGCGCTCATCCTTCTGCTGGTAACTAACCAGAGACTCAAGGAGAGCTTCTGTTGTTATTGCTTTACATACAGCACAGTGCAAAAGTCTTAGGCCTCCATGAATCGGGCTGAAAACACCTCCAACAGAACATCTCACCACAACCGATCTGACAGAAAGTCATCCTGATTCTAGAATCCGCTGGAGCTTAAAATCAAGATGAATTCATTTGCATGGCTTCAAAGTGAAGCTGTTTAAATGGAGATGTTTGATGAAGGTTCATGTAGGGGCTGCAGCTCACGATTATTTTCATCGTTTCGTCTGTAAAATTTCAGAAAATGGTGAAAAATGTCAATCAGGTCGAATGTGACATCTTCCAATGCCTGGATCACCTAAACTGATTAACTATCAAAACACTGTCTGGTAATTTTAAAAAGTGCCAAATATTTGCCTGTCTGATGAGTCACTGAAGCTCTAAACATCAGGTCGACTCAACGCGAAAACACAGAAAACATCAAAAGCCTGATATGAACGCACCAAACAGCCAAGAACCTGCATACGAAGGCACCAAAATGTCAAAACGACTCATTAGCACACAAACACTAGAAGAAGTGGACATTAGCACGTCCAGACTGCAGAGCGCTGACATTACTGCTGTCTTGCTGTGACTCGCTCTGTGGGGCAGCAGAAACACTGACAGACGTCCTCTGAGTGACACCAGGACGTCTCACATGGGTGTCGGTGAGCTCTGGTTAAATCCTGTGTTTGGTGACTGGAGTCTGGTGCTGATTTCTCGCTCTGTGTTCTGTGTTAAAGATGCTCAGACTCTGCTCACCTGTCGGAGCTTCCACTCCTGCTCCTGTTCCGACTCTTTGGGCCTCAGCGGGTCCTTGAAACCCATCTCTGTCTCCATGTAGACGGGATCGTAGGGTCCGGGCAGTGGCGGCGGTGGCGGCTGCTGTGGCGGCGGCGGCTGCTGCTGTGGCGGCGGCGGCTGATGCTGCTGCTGGCGTTTCAGAGTGTCGTTGGACTGCTGCACCTTGCTGATGCGCTGAGCCGCCCGGTTGTCCCGAGCTTTTTGCTGCAGAAAGGAAACAGCAACGGAGTTGAAGGGCAGTTTATCCAATAAAAAATACATCTACAAAAACGCACCACTCATCCACCAGAGAAACAGAAGAAACAGCCAGTGAGCTACTCATCTGCAGGACTTTATCCTTAGTGAACCCACAGGAGGTCAAATGAGGTCTCACTCACCACGTAGGGCGCTCTGTCCTGAGAACTGGCCTTCCTCCACAGCTTGGTGATCTGCTTCACTCTGGTGGACCAATCTGAGCGGACACAGTGGAAAGCAGTGACCACACCACACCTGTGTGTAGGTGTATCTGTGTGTGTGTGCATCTGTGTGTGTGTGTGCATCTGTGTGTGTCTCTGTGTGTGTCTGTGTGTATCTGTGTGTGTAAATGTGTGTGTGTGTCTGTGTGTGTGTGTATCTGGGGTATACCGGGGTACTGCTGCCTCAGCTGGGGGTAGTTGGTGTTGCAGTAGAGCACCGGGGCAACAGTGGCTTTCTCCCCCAGACTTTCTTCCTTCTCCCACTTCAGCGTGCCTCTCTGAGCTGTCGACAGCGTGTCCTGCTCGCCGTCTCCAGAGGACGCCTGATTGGCCGGAGCCGGCCCGGGGGCGGGGCCCTCAGGAATGGGCAATCTGAAGGTGGGTGGAGCCTGAGTACTGCCGGGCATCATGGGAGAGCTGGAGAAGGGAGGGGCAGCTGCCATCAGGCCGTTCATCAGGGGCAGGCGAGGAAACACTGCAGCTGCAGACAGGATCAATACATCTGATCAGCTATCAATATCAGAGGGTCAGAGACAGGATCAATACATCTGATCAG